GGCAATTTATTACAAGCTGCTATTAACCTTTTATAATGCTTGGTCGCTCTGCCGTCGCCGTCGCCGCCGTCGTCGAAGTCGCAGTCGCAGTCGCAGTCGCGCTCGCGCAATCCTTCGCTCGAGTGTGTCCTGTGGGCATCGTTTGCACACATATAGAACAAATATAACGGTCAACAAATAAACGCCAATAAAAAAAGAAGAAAAAGAAAAAACCCAAAAAGAAACTCCAAAACTTGCAGCTCATAAAAGCCAACAGGCAAAGCCAACACACATACATTCACACTCTCTGTTACACACACACACACTCACATCTACAACGTCTATCGCCAACCAACATGGTATGTATTTTGCTGTTGTTGCTTTTGTTTTAGACTCTTTTAGGTGTTGCCAGCTCTACGTCGACTCAATTGTGCACTCGTCTATGATTCCGCATCCGTAGACGCATCCACATCCGCAATCGCATCCGCCGCAAAATTCGCTGCGGGAAAATTCAGACGCACACAAACAAAAACAAAACGGAGGAAAAGAAAAATAAAGAGTGCAATTTTTGTTGTGGCATTTGTTTTATTTTTATTAGGTCCTATATCGTTGTTGTATTTTTGTTCCTCTCCCTTATTTTTTTTGTCGGTTTGAAGCAAATTGTTTGCTTACGTGCGTGAATTTTTTATCAATAAAGGTTAAGCTTTCTAGGTGTGTGTGTGTGTACTTGAGGGTATCTGTGTGTGTGTGTGTGCTTAGTACTTATTTTGTTTTCAAACTTGTTTCGGTTGTTTCTGCTTAACTGGAATATATATGGTAATGGTCAATTGCTCCAAACGTGTTCAAGAACTTGAAACTGTTGATTAGACCTTCTGGCCTCCATTATCCATACAATTTAAATGATTTAATATAATAAGAAATTTCATTTGATTTTATTTCAATTATTATTATTTGAGTTGGGTATTTACTTAAACCATTTTGGTATTTTTTTTTTAAGTTACTTTTTTTTTATTATAATTAAATTTATATTCACTTGTTTTGTATTTTTTTTATATTTGCACTAAGAATTTATTTATTTGT